AGCCATATCCACAGCCAGAGCCACAGCCAGAGCTGTATCCACAGCTATAGCGAGAGCCATATCCACAGCCAGAGCCATAGCCACATCCATAGCCACAGCCAGATCCGTAGCCACAGCCTCCACAGGAGTTTCCGTAGTAGTTGTAATTCATGGTGTCAGGAGGTGAGGTTTCGGTTATAGGATAAGAGAATGTTTCCCAGGTGTGAATGTAATGTGTTGTCTTCCAAGGCCTTTATATACTTACAGCAGTGGATGGGTCATACCTCACATGGTCTCTCTGCTCTCATTTTACAGCCACATGCCAAAAATGTGCTCCTTCTGCATATGCTCAATCTTGTCAGGAATCTGTAGTTTACTTCCTGCTTCCCTAAACATTTCCATAAGCTTTTAAGGAAATAGGGTACATTTTCTGAACCCAATCTTGTGCTTCCATAATTTTACCTTTCATAAATTCCTTTCACAACCATGGCATAACACGCTGCCACCACCATGTTCTTGGCCCAGAAGTATATATTTCCTTGTCCTTAACACCATAACATTGATATCAATTCACTAGTAGTGCTACATAAGGTAAATCATGGGTGGATGAGAACCATGCCTTGTCTCTAATGTGAAAAAGCAAATTATAAATATTTTAAAAAACAAAATCAAAGAAGATATTGAAAAATAGACAGATCTGGTAGAAGTGGATAGTTGATCTGGGGAGGAAGGAAGAAGAAGCATTGAAGTGATGGTATACTACACATGAGTGCCCATTTCTCAAGATGACCATAATTAGTACGTATTATGAACTTATGCTAGTAAAAATAGTGCTGCATTATAGTAACATGAACAGCACCAGAGCAGGAGGGGCACAACTTGAATCATTTTAGTTTCTTTCTTCCTGTTCTCAAGCATTCTTTACCTTATCAAAAATTAGCCAAAACTATTTTTCCTGGAATTTGTACAAAGAACAGAGTATTTCAATGTGCTATATGTGTACCTAAAATTATCTCTTTCTTCTGCAAGTGAAGTTTGTTTATATCCATTTATTGGCAGAACAGCTACGACCTTTTCCTTGTTTGGTGCAAAACTTTGTCTTTAAATTCCTGATTCATCAATTGTACAAGAATGATAATGCATTAGAGGATAAAATTTTCCAATTCTCAATAATAAGTTGGTGTTTTTTGAGATTACTCAGACTTCTCTCAGGTTTTTGAGGTATATCATTGCTTTTCTCTAAAATTTAATTACTTAATAGTTCATTGCTCCACTTCACTATGGTCAGTTGGAAATGGGAAAATTGATTTATAGACACAATATTTCAATAAGAGAACTAACTTTAGCATTGAATTGTGCAGTGTATTGATTATAGGAGGATTTTTTTCTGGGGGGGGGGCCCTCTCAGGGTGCCTTCAGGGCAGGTCTGGTTTTGGCTTGAGGATGAAGGGATTGAACCACAGCATACTGAGCCTGACAGGTTTCAGCAGGCACTTAAACACCTGAGAGAAAGGGCAGGCACTCAAGTGTACTGATTATAATAATAATAATACATTGTGAAGTTCTAAATTATGTCTTCAGCACAAAATGTGACGTATATAGGAGTTGATGTATTTGGCCATCATTTTGATCTAATCATGCAACAGTATTTACTTCAGTATTACTTGCTGATCCAATGCAGTATCTTAATACAACTATTATATTTACTTATACTGCATTTTTGGAGTCTAAACATTATGACTTTAATAATAGTCAACTGCTTTGTAGAATGTTTCAGTCTTCCTTATATTAATTGCATATCACCTTCTTCCATTGTTTCTATGATAAATTTTTTTTAGTTCACAGCTTCTGTTTGAGACACACACACACACACACACACACACACACACATACACACACACATTCTTGAATATTCCTGGGCTGTGTGGCTCATGTACTCTGTACAGTAGACATGAGCTTGCAGCAGGTCACTCAGGAAGCATTTATTATACACAACTTGTAGATCCTGAAAAATAACTAATGATATTTATGAAGAAATGCAATATAGTATTTAGTATTGTGTAAAATGCTCAATGAAGCTCTTAGAAGTCCTGTACCTAATGTGTGAATAGACTGGAAATTTTTGTGCTAGAGTTCACAGAACCTAATCTATACTAAAAAAAGTTGAAGAAGAGGGTATCTATCCTTTTAAGTGCCCTCTTACTAGAAAAGGAATTAGAATATAAGGCATATTTTGGAGATGATAAAGATTTTTAATTGTGGCAAGCAACTCATTCTTTCATGCACTTTTACACAGTCAGAAAAACATGCACATTAAATATAAGCAAACCTTATTTCAATTGTACATTAATAAAGCCATAAACAAGCAAATAAACAATCAAGCAAAGCATTTCTACAGTCATTGTATGTATGTGATCAATTCTGGGGCGGTGCCTATTTAATCAGCTGGTAGTATAGATAGAAAAAGACTCTAGATAGGTGGACCACAAAGAAACCATGTGAAGGGGCCAGGGAAACAGCACAAGTACCTGCTTGGCAAGTATAAGGTCATGAGTTTGATTCCCAGTACCCCCTCCCCCCCAAAAAAAAAGAAAGAAAGAAAGAAAGAAAGAAAAAAGAAAGAAAGAAAGAAAGAAAGAAAGAAAGAAAGAAAGAAAGAGAAAAGAAACTGTGTGAAGAAAAGTGGGCAGGAAGCTTTAGAGGGTGCAGCAGACCACCTACAGAGACACACACACTGGAGACCTAAAGATGCCAGTTGCTGGCTAGTGATGTGGACCATTTTTCCATATATCTATTCACTTCTTTAATTTCATCTTCTGAGAAGCTTGTGTTCATCTCGGATGCCCATTTCTGGATTGGGTCTTTAAATTTTGGGGCCCTAGTGTTTTTTAGTTCTTTATAAATTCTAGAGAAAAGACCTTTGTCTGAGTACTTATTTGTCATGATCCTTCCAAATTTGTGGGTTGCCTTTTCACTTTGTTGGTAATTTCTTTTGATGTGAAAAAAACTTCTCAGTAAGAGCAGGTACCAGTTGTTAATTCTTTCAACTGTTTCCCATGCAATTTGATTTCTGTATATGAAGTCTTTGTCTTCAAGAGTTCTTCCCACTTTCTCTTCCAGGAGATTTAGTGTCTCTGTTTTAATGTTTAGATCTTTAATTCATTTTGACTTTAGTTTAGTGCATGGTGATAGGCCTGGGTCAATTTGGAGTTTTAGGCATGAAGAGAGCCAGTTTTTTCAGCACCATTTGCTAAAGAGGCTATCTTTGTTCCAGTGAGTATGTTTGGCCCCTTTGTCAAAGATAAGGTGGCTGCGCGTGTTTGTAGGGGCTTCAGGGTCTTCTAATGTATTCCATTGATCCTCAGGTCTATTTTGTTGCCAGTACCATGCTGATTTTATCATAGGAGCCTTGTAGTATAATTTCAAGTCAGGAATTGTAATGCCTCCTGCCTTGTCTTTATTGCTCAGAATTGCCTTTGCTATTCTAGGTCCTTTTTGGTTCCAGATAAATTTTAGGAATGATTTTTCTAGGTTTGTGAGGTATGTCGGTGGCAGTCTGATAGAGATTGCATTAAATCTGTACAGCAATTTTGGGATTATGGCCATCTAGCCATCCGCGAAGTGCAAATTAAAATAATAATGAGATATCATCTCATCCCAGAAAGAATGGCTAACATAACGAAATCACCCAACAACAAATGTTGGAGAGGCTATAGGGAAAAAGGAACCGTTCTCCACTGCTGGTGGAAATGTAGACTGGTGCAACCGTTATGGAAATTAGTATGGAGACCACTTAGAAAATTTGGACTGGAAATCCCATTTAAACCAGCTATTTCTCTACTGGGAATTTTCCTGGAGGATCTGAAAACATCATATCATAATGATATCTGTGTGCCTATGTTTATAGCAGCACAATTTATGATAACCAAATCTTCGAAACAACCAAGATGCCCATCACCTGAGGAATGGTTGAACAAGATGTGGCATTTTCTTACTATGTAGTATTGATCAACTATTAAGAATGATAAACTCAAAGCCTTCATATTGAAGTGGATGTCACTTGAACATATACTCATAAGTGAAATAAACCTGACACACATATGTAAATATCATATAGTTTCCCTAGTATAAGAACTCCAAAGAAGAAATACAAATAGAAAGGTATAATACAAGTAAAAGGAAAGCAAGAAGTTGAGGACTAACTAATCAAGAGAGGGAAAGGAGAAGAGCTAGGAAACATGAATAAGTCAAGTCATACAGTTATATGTAGAAGATGGGCAAGACAATGATCTTGAGAATCTCCAGAAGATTTTTAAATCTAGCAGTTAATTGGAAAGATTCTCACTCTGACTAACTCTATATACTGAACCTGTGAGCCAAGCTACTGCACTGCAGTTGGTAATTTGTAATAATAGTTTCATGCTTGGAGTGCCTGTCATTCTGGTTTTCTGAATATGGGCTTCATTTCATGACTTGCCAGTCGCTGCTATGCTGTTTCTTGGGTAGATGGTTGTTCAGAAAGAAGTGGGTGGTGAATGAAAGCAAGAGACAGAAAAAGAAATATTGTGGGACTGTCCTGCTTTGAGGTTGTATATGGTGAGTTTTTTTGACTTATGTGTAAACATAAGAAGTATATAATTCTTTTTGCCTATTTTTCAAATATATTCTAACTTTTAATTTTTTTATAATATTCTGTAGGGACTTAAAGTTCAACATATCAATACTTGATGAAAAATACTTGTTCCATGTTATGCCTAAGATGTTTGATATGCAGACAGATAGTGAAGTTCAGCTTAACAGCCTAAGTTGTATGGTAATAACAATAAGCTTGTCTTCTGGATGGTTAACAATCTAAGTTTGCAGACTAAAATTCAAGAAAAAGGAGGGCTACAAGGAAAGCCATCATTTTGGCCCTACCCTTCCAAGGTCAGTTAAGACTCAGGACATATGAGAACTTGTACTGCAACATCATGTAACTCAGTGGTGTCCTAAATTTTCTGATCAAGGAGATTATGGGGCCAAAGAGGAAAGTGATTGGTGATATAGAGTGTGCCTAAGGAGAGTCACATGGAGAGAAAACATTCCCTCAGGCTTTCACAGAGAGCACATTGGCCAAGCAATGGCCATGACATATCCACATGGCTAACACTCACAAAGGTTCTACAACCTGAG